AAATGGCGTGGCAATGTTAGCTCTTTATTTTACAAGTCGACAGTATAGACGTTGCCAATTTAAAGATGGACATGCACCGTTATGTTCTTCCTAATTACTATAAATTCGAGCATCTTTGGTGTTTATTAGCACAATTACGTAAAATTTGACGTTGTTTTGCGAAGCGACAGTGAAACATCTTCTATTTCGTCTGCACCGTTGTTTATCCTACATCCAGAGCTCACGTTCTCAAGATACGTTTCCTGTTATAATGCACGCGACAAGCAATGTGCATTTAGCGGCTTTTAACAGATTTAACTAGCGTGTGAAATAGTAACTCTAGATGAAGGATCAATGAACAGGATTTATGAAAATCTAACGCGAAAAATATGCATTTTTTTAAATATTTCATTTATTTAGAATAAAGATATTGTTTTCATAAATAGTGTAGCACTCAGCTATGTTATAAATCGACAGTAGAATATAACGCCACAAATACTTAGATACGCATCGATATGTTCTTCCCAGTTACATCTAAATTCACATATCTCTGTGGTGTTTATTAGCACAATTATACCGTAAAATTTGACACTGTCCCGCCAAGTGCCAGCGAAGCATCTTCTATTTAATCCGCACTATTGTTTATCCTTCATCCAGAGTTCACGTTGACGCTTTTAAGATACATTTTCTCTAGTACGTAAGTTAAGCAGCGTGCATTTCGCGACTTTTAATAGCTTTAACTAGCAGCATGTGAAATAGCAGCTCTGGATGAAGAATTAAGACAGAAGACATTAAACGCTAAAGACGAAACTCTAAAGCAGAAAATATACATTTCTCTCTGAATATTTCATCTATTTAGAATAAAGATGTTTTCGTAAATGATGTGGCACTTGGCAGACTCTTTATGTTACAAGTCCGACAGTAGAATATAACGTCACAAATGTCTAATAGAGATGCACCGTTTATGTGTTATTTTTCTTAGTTGCACCTATAAATTCACAATATCTTCGATATGTTTATTAACACAATTACATCTGTAAGATTCGACACTGTTCCGCGAAGTGACAGCGACAACATCTTCTATTTAATCCGCGCCGTTGTTTATCCTTCATCCAGAGTTCACGCTGACGCTCTCAAGATACGTTTTCTTCGATAAATACGTTTCCGTCCCGGATTTCTCGAAACGTTGCACCGCTATCGAGCGGATATTCCGTTGGCAGCCGTCGCGTGTTTTGAACCCCGCGCAGTCTCGTCAGTGTTATCTGCTTTCCTTCTGCAAGAAGGCACGTAGCTTTCCGGTCGGACGGCTTTATCTGCCGCATGTACCCCCTCGCAATATCATTATTAACTGCGATTCACCATGCGATCGTCGAAACGGACTACCGTGGTGGGGATCGTCCGGAAGATAGGGAAACGTCAGATCCGCTCTACGCTCGCTGTATTTCGCAACGCTAAACTCCATCAGTTAGCTAGCGGCGTCAGATTATTAGCGTCCCCGCGTCTATTTTGCCGTGACGAATAACCCTCTATCGCGCGCATCTGTCGCGCGATGTACCGGAAAGATGTCTACACGCGTGTCACGCGCATCCGCACTCCGTGTAAATTACGCGCAAAATACTATAAATTATTTGAATTCGCATAGCCCGTATAATACTCACCGAGAGTGATAAATCATACGAGTTTAGGTCCGTGAATCCCCACCGGCGTTGAGAGTTTGTTGACGATCGTCACGATCTAGCAGTTAATTGTAAGAAGAAGAAAAAGAACCCTTTAGAAATCGAATTCGAACTTTAAGAAGATGCTGAAGTTATCGACAAAACGCGCATTTTGTATTTTTCTATTTTTTATTTTCGTTTTTTTTTATGCAAAATTAAAAAATCCTTCCCTAAAATAAAAGAAAAACGCAAAATAGCTGGAAAATACAAATCAATAAAAAAAATTGTAAATTTTATCACGTAGGTTATTTCTTTACATATGTAAATAAATTCAAATGTATATTCAAACAAAAAGTATAGCATTTGAATAATTTATAACAATATAACGACATCTTCAAATTATAATTTTGAAGCTTACAAAAGAAATGAGTAGAAAAATACAATCTAAGTGTACATAACTTAGCATTCGTGTGACATACATATAGAATGTAGCCAGAGCAAAAATATACGTAACGTTTTACTTAATATTTTATTTAATGTACGTAATGTTTTTTTAATGCACATAATGTTTTATTTAGAATTAAGAATCTTTTTTATAGATATCGATAAGTTTGGCCGTCGCTCCAGCATCCCTTTAAGTAAGTAAGTGCACTCTAGGTTTTCTTTAAAATCTTGTTCTACAAAATAGAAAAATGAAAAGCCCAGATACTCAGAAGTCTTAAAATTATTTTTACATTCCTCTATCTCATAAGGATATAACTAAATGTAAATTTATCCATAATATAATATTATAATATATTTATACAACTAAAAAAAAATTAAAAAAAGATTTAGGTATTCTAAGTATTCTCGTCCCTCAACTAGCATATTTTAAACTTTAAAGTACCTATATCTATTTAATCTTTACAGGAAAGCCATTATAATGGCGTTGAAGCAGTTATATTTTAAGGCAAAAATTAAATGCAATGAAATAATAAATTATAACAATTAATCTTACTGAAGAAAAAGATATTAGCAATATAAGATATTAGAAATGGATCCCTGTCCTCCAAAGGTTAAAGGTTAATATGACTCATTTTCAAATTAAAAGAAACATTAAACAACAGTGTGCTTTTAATATTCAAAATAATTAACCGTTACCTTCCAGTATTAAATATTTCTGCGAGGGAATGTAACTCTCGTGAGAATATAGTATCTTCAAAACATGATCGCAGTTGGAATAACAGCGAGAGTCAAAATATAAATGCATCTCTCTACCCGTAACGTCAAGTGGAAGGGTACATATGTGAAAAGCGTTTATATACTATCGGCAACGGATGCAAGCGTCCAAAGGCCGTTCGAGAAATGCTACACACGATGGGCTCCGTTTTCCCTTGTCGGAAGAGAATTCGTTTGAGCTGCGCGAGACTTCCGTGACCATTCGTCTCTCCCGTTATCTTCCCAGCCTCCGCATCTCCGTCTTTCTTTTATCTGTCGCTGTCCCGAACGTACGCCATCCTGCCCATATCGTCATGTGATTAGTATAATAATATTAACGTCGGAAGAGGACCGACAGTGGCGAGAATCGGGGATGCCAATAGCGTTACACTAGAACTTAGGACCAGAACTGAAATTCAATATTTACGCCAGTGCGCGGTAACTCACTGCTAATTAGACCACCGAGTAATTGGTAACGCTAGCTCTCTCAAAGCCTCTACGAGCGAGCGCAGTGAAATTCGGGCCGAATGCCTGTACTCTCTTGCAACTAGCTGCACTGCGTGCTACGTATCTCTTCCCCGATATTGATGTTCGATTACTCAACAACACACATCAAATGCTCGACCGATTCGAGGAGTTTAACATTCGCCGCGAACATTTAACTCGACGCTGAGCATTTACGCGTAAATTAGATAAGCACGTTTGAATTAGATCAGTTCGTCTGGTGCAAGCAAAGATTTCAAAGCCGACTTGATTTTGACAACGCGACAAATTGAAAATTTCCTACATATTCAAATTAATACTTATCTTGACTTTAGCACCGCAGTGCTTTTTCTTCAATTAAT